TCGAGCGCTGTAAAAATCGCTAGCATGAGCGCAGGGGCGGATCCAAAGAATTTTTTGCTTCTTCTGATTCCATGTAGATATCGATTTTGGTTCAATGGAAATAATGTACTATATAACTTTTAACTTTTCTAGGGACCCGCAGTTCTTTCCCTTGGATTTGATGGGAATTACTTTGAAGACGTTAAAATAAATATTGATTGATGTATAATTAAATATTTTTCGTTTTGTTTATAATTTCCGGAGACTTTTTTGCCACAATATATCTAGGATTATGAATTCGATTTCATGCTAGATATGTGACGGGGTTCAGAAAAAGTAAAGCATAGACATTTTTATTATTAGTATTTATTATATTTTATTATTTATCGTACTTTATGGACATCTATTATTGAAAAAATATGCGAATATTTCTATTACTGAGAGACAATTTCACATTTCATGTAATATTTTAAAAACCAATTAAGTACTCACATGACACAAATGTACTAATTTGCATATTTGTAAATCACCAGCAATTGATATGCCAATAGGCCGCCTAGAACACTCGCACACGACTGACAGTAACTCAAGTATGGCATTTTATGAATTTAAATACCGTTAAGTGACAGCACACAGCATAAAATGCGAATATTGCCGCCTATACAGTCTATAAAAGGCTACTGGCCTCTTCTATGATGTACATATAACACATACACACCTACACACACACGAGTGCTCATGAACTTGACTCGTAAATGTCGCAAATTTTATTGGCTGTCATTTGTAGGCGCGACAAGTCACTCGCCAGCGAACCAATTAAAATTCATTTACATTTTAATTTTTTCCTGGGCATGWCTAACAGAATTATTTTGTAAACAAACGGCATACACATGTCATAAGTACCGTGTCTATGCATAGCTATGTGTAAATTGTTGCTTATTGACTTATTGACCGACAAATCCTTTAGTTGCAAATCACAACAAGACATTTTCAATTTACTGCTTAATAATACTTAATTAATTCAAATAATCAGTAAAAGCAAAAGATCATAAAGTTAATTTAATTTATTTTTTTTGATACTTTATTAAAAGCTATTTACACACACACAACAAAAACAAGATAGTAATAAAATAGTTATCTACCAGTTTTTCATCAGTTCCCATGTACTTAGTACTATAATGCAAACATATGCCCTTCTCAGCTTAACGCACGCGACCGATCTTTTGTCCAAACAGCGCCTCTCAGACTCTTTGYTACCTCTCCCACCACCCTTTTTACCACCATGCCTATATTTGTCTAATTGATGCTCATTTTTATGGCATCGTTTGYTGTTGTTGTTATTTTTATTCTGCTATCATTGTTTGCTTTGTGTGTGAACTTGACCAAGAGGCCGATATAAAAATATTTAAGTTATGCAAACACACACAAGCACAAACATATCGACATATTGTGTTATTAACATATATTTGTATATTTGTTGACCATTTTTGTGCTGCGCCGCGTTCAATGGCATTGATAGCGCGCACTCAGCCATGAGACTTCAATAAAATATTGACGTGATGCTGTACTATTTATTGTGGCAACAACAATAGCAAGAAAAACGGCTGTTTCCTTAGTATATTTTCCGATCATGAACTTGAATCTTAGCAGAGAATATTTCCAAAATATTTTTGTTCTAAATTGGCTGCATTGAGCGCCAGTGGGAATGCACACATACTCGTAAATGTRTAAATTACCATAAACTATTGATAAACAACAGCAAGAAATAGGAAAAAGTCTTAACTTTGGTTGAAACGAAGCTATAAATCCCTTTACAAGTACCAAAGAGTGCTCAAAAGAACTCAAAAGTGACTCGATSTAAACAATTTTTTCARACATTGCACCATTGCCTTTGACAATAATCCATGACAAATTTCGTGAAGATATCTCGTCCAATGAAACAGTTTTCTATACMAGCATTTGATTCCGAGCGTTCAGTTTGTAAGGCGGCTATATGCTATAGTGGTCCTGTATCGACAATTACGATAAATGAGCAGCTTCTTRAGGGAAAAAAGAAGTATGTAAAGTTTCAAGGCGATATTTCATAAACTGAGAAACCGGTCCATATAGTATATTCAGACCGACAGATGGACTATGGACATAACTAGGCCAACTGATATGCGTATGAACTTTATAAGGTCTCCGACATTTTTTTTTTACTTTAGAGGATTCCGACATTTCGTTTGGGTTCTGGGTGTTACAAACTTTGTGGGTAGCTTAATATGAAAATCCTTTTTCGAATACCCAATATATACTGTTCAGTGTATAAAAGGGCAATTAAACGAATTTTCCGAAAAAATCTTTTCACCTCAAATGTCTCCCTAAAAAGTTTAAGCATATTGGTACGATAACCCTAAGCACTGCTTAAAAGCCAGCGTGACGGGACTATAGTTTCAATCCGTGCAGACAAATTCATTATATGTATACCTCTTTCCCTCAATGATGGTAGGAAGCATTGGACCCTAGAGGAACATCTCAGGTCTTGGCACATACGACCTAGAACTAGAAACATAAGCAAGACAGGACATACCACAAGGTTTCCTTTGTGTAATGTTGACGGTGGATAGACACAAAAGTACCTACTTCTAAACTTAAACTTTATTCATTTAAGACTTTACAATTAAATTCAAATGCGTTTTCTTATTTCTGCATTATTTATAAAATAATCTTTCTCCATAATATTTACTCTAAGAATTACCCAAAAATCATTGTTAGCAACCTGTTGCATCACTATGAGTAACATAATCCCAAAGGCAACCGAAATCAATTGAAGCAACATGGTGCCTGCATCTGCCACCGCAAATATTCTGTTTTCATTTTACCATTTGTGTTACTCGTCTGCATTCCCCAGAGGCACTTTGTCGCTGAGGCAGAAAAACGCACACAAACATAAAAGCAAACATGAGCTACTATACAGTTAGAAAGAAGAGTAAAACATTTTTATCTACACACACACACACACACACATCTGCATACATACAATCAACGCTGAGCAGCTTTCCACATTATTTATGCACGTACTTACCTATTTTGGGATTCGTTTGTGTGTGGTAAGGATGTTGACAAGGATAATCGCTGTGTGGCGTCTACTTCGGCTGACCGCGCTTTCGTGGGAATTGTGGTTGTGGTCGAACGGTTATTTATGTTGTCTGTCTTATTGCTATTGTTGTTGTTGTTGGCGTTAGGTTGCGTGGGTGGAAATGCTTAGCGTTGAATTCCTGTGGGAAAGCAATAAGAAGTGATTGTTGTAAGAAGCTCGGTGCAATTAAATAACGCTCTATCGCTTTGAAAGCTGCTTATGGTGGTAATTAATCAGAAATTCCGCATAATTTTTAATTTTGGTTTTATTGTTTTGTATGGCGGAATAACTACTGAGCGTATATGGTTACTTCAGTTGTTTCAAAATTGTCTGAAATTCAAAAAACCAAGTTACTGGTAGAACTCTTGGGTAACTAATCAGTGCTTTGACGGGTAGTTGTCTTGCAAGGTTGTATTTCTCATAATCACCTCTGGTGAGTGTTCTAAAAAATTTTGTGTAGAAACTGAAAGTGAAACCTACTCAGGTAGATGCAGTAATTGCAACAGCGATAAATTTGCTTTCATATTTTCAAAAATTAGTTTTTGTTTATGAAAATAATATTCGCTAAGGCCTACTTTGATTGTTTTTGTTATAAAAAATTTAATTATTAAAGATAAATAATTTTTCGCTTTAAAAATATTATTGATTAAATCAGATATATGTTTTTTTTTAATATTGTATATTTCTCACCCGAATCGTAAAGCGAAAAATATAAAGCAAATAGCCGCGGGCTAATCAATTTAAATATACGCGCAGATTGAAAGCAGAGGCCGATTCAATATGCTCTGAACCGGTGGATACGGCTGTGATATAAACACATTTGTATGTACATATGTATGTCGAATATGTTGTATTATGTAAATATATGCATGCTATTTATACACATATTTCATATATTTACTACTGAAAGCCATAAACATATGTATGCATTAACATATGATTATATGCCATCCACAATATKCTTCTTTTGGCACTTTTATAAAATGGCAAAAAAAAAAAATTATTTTTTACTACAAGTATATGTATGTCAATAAATTTTGAAAATCATATAGTTGTATATATCGTTACCTAAAAAAATCGAAATTGAGTAATTTGTTGTTTACGATTCACTACATTGTATTATATATATGTAATAGGGTATTT